CGCATGAATATAATAGATAGTAATAGTAATCCTCAACAAAAAACACCGCGAGAAGAAAGCTCAGCTTTCAACCGAAATCGTTGACGACGTCCATTAACAAAAACCAGCCACCCCCCGGCGAAGGCCGCCGGGGAGGGGGCTGCTCGGTGAAGGTGTTCCGGTGGGGAGGGTGGCGCCAGCATTGAATCGCTGCGCGCCGCTTCAAAACCAAATAAAAAGAGCCCGGCCCATGTTTCGGCATGGGCGGGCACCATGCCCGGCCTTAGTAGCTGCGCGCCGTGGGAAGATGCGCGCCGGAAAGTATTTCCGGGCGCCAACGGTCAAGGTGCCACAAGGGCGACGCACCTGCTGCCAGCGCGCGCGGGCGCTGTGGGAAAGAAGTTGCGGCCACCCTAGGTGGCCGACCAGGTTAAGGCGGGGCGCCGCGCCCCCTCTGGGGGACGCAGAGCGGCGCACGCACTTTGAACGGCCGCTCTGATCTGAAAGCGAAAACAATGCCAGCCGATCGCTGCGCCCTAGCGAGCTTCTTTGGGGGGCGCCGCGCGCAGACAAATGGGCGTGCTGTGCTCCTGGAGGTGGTCCACGAGAGGGTCCGGGAGAGGGTCCCGGAGAGGGTCGGGGAGAGGGTCCGGGAGCGGTTCAGAGAGGGTCCCGGAGAGGGTCGGAGAGGGTCCCGGAGAGGGTCCGGGAGAGGGTCGGAGAGGTCCCGAGAGGGTCCGGCGAGAGGTAAAGTAGAGGTTTCCGGAGAGGTTCGCGGTAGAGGGTCGCCTAGAGGGTCGCCCTATACTATGCACCCTCTCCGACCCTCTACACCCTCTTCCCCTACCCTCTATTTGACCTCTCCCCAACCTCTCCCCTACCTCTGCGCGCGTATAGCCCCGCTTTCAGGGCGTATATACGGCTCACCCTCTCCCGACCCTCTCCTTTACCTCTCGCTTTACCTCTCCCCGACCCTCTCACTTTGTCCGACCCTCTATTTTACCTCCCCGACCCTCTATTTTACCTCTCCCGAACCTCTACCAGACCTCTACTGTACCCTCTCCAGCCCCGTTTTCTTCCATATATAAATACCAGCCATGCTCCGGCTGCCGCCGGAGCGCAAGGCTGTTGGGCCGGCGCAAGACTGTTTGCCGATTGGACCACAACACCACAGGCCTGCGCCCAACGAAACATACTGGGGTCCTCCCGCCTGTTTGCGCCGCGTCAACCCGCAGGACCACTTGCGCGCTTCCCGCGCCTGTGGGCGCTCTGCGCAGGGAGCAGCTGCAAAGAACACCGGGGGCGAACAGAAGCCGCCCGGCGCGAGAGGGTAGCGCGAGAGGGTGGCGCGAGAGGGTTGCGCGAGAGGGTGGCGCGAGAGGGTGCACGAGAGGGCGGCGCGGAAAGACGCCGCACAAAACAAGTCCGCGAATGGCCTGCAGTGCGAAGAATGGGCAGCGCCATGCGGATTCGCGCCCGCCTCCTTCTGTTTTTACCCTCTCGCAGACCTCCTGCAGACCCTCTCTTTGACCTCTTTTGGGGGTCCCCGCTAATAATCCGGCTATACTCGCGGGGAGAGGTCGACAGAGGTGGCCGAGAGGTGGCCAAGAGGGTCCGCGGGAGGTCGCCCCTTATTCGCGCAACCTCTCGGCACCTCTGTCCACCTCTCGCCCGCACTCTTTTCTACCTCTCGGCACCCTCCGAGGCGCTTAGCGGCCCTAAAGGGCGACCGGTTCGGCGGGCTATACTCGCGCCACCTCTCGCGCACCCTCTCGAACTGCCTCCCGCGCCACCTCTCCACCTCTGTCGCCCTCTTTTTGACCTCTTTTGACCTCTTTTTTACCTCCCGGCCACCTCTCGTTTACCCTCTCTAGACCAATATTTTCGCATGAATATAATAGATAGTAATAGTAATCCTCAACAAAAAACACCGCGAGAAGAAAGCTCAGCTTTCAACCGAAATCGTTGACGACGTCCATT